GAAATCATATTAAAGTTGATATATATGAGGGAATTTTGATATATAAAAATTTATAAAAATTTGTTTTGTGGCTTAGGATGAGATTAACGAGGTTGATATTACAGTATTAACGGGGGTAACCTGTATAACATTTTATGGCATGCCTTCTGGCATGCCATGACACAAAATTTGACAAAAGGCATGCCTGTAGCGTGACAAATTTTGTTTGCGTGCCAGACACCCTATAACCCTTACCCTAACTTTAATTAAATAGTCAAAAACATATGACGCACAACGCTTTAAATGTCCCCTATATCGCGTAAAATACCAACTGTCCTAGAATTACCAACCTAAAAAATTTCACTGGCCAATCAGATTTCAAGTTTAGGTGTGACGTAGAAGAAACGCAAAAAAATCAAAACAAACCAAAAAAAAAACGCTTATAACCCAACATTTTATCTATGAAATCACCTGCGCACTAACAGAAAGTTTCCTTGCGAAATTTTGATATTACTGAAGTTTTTTCTAATCTAACTTCATAGCAAAACCTAACCTTAAACTAACAACGAAATGTTTTTAGCTGTAGTAATTTGCTTAATATACTGTAGATGCAGAAATATTTATGTTACTGATTATGCCCCATGTAGATATAACTTAGTGACGTAAATAGTTCTACACCTTAATTATTAATATTTGTGGACTAATAAAAAATGAGATAATTTTAAGATAAAAAATTATCTTGTTTCTATGCTTTTATTAACTTATTCTAAGTGTAATATTTTATTGTAACAGATGACAAATGAAAAAAAGTATACAAGCTATGAAAAATAATGTAGCTATCGAACTATGTATAACTTATTGAATCCTTAGTGTATATATTGCATCTAGAGTAACTACGTATCTATCTGGAGTAGTCACTTTAGATACCTAAAGTAGCATCTAACCAGAATTAACGCAATTTTAAGGCTTTAATTTCGGTCAAATCTAAAGTAGCTATTTCGGATATACCAAAAAATATAATATATATCGTATACGGTTAGATAAATAGTATAAATAACACTTAGTACATATCCCAGCATTTTAAAATTCGAGTTGGGACGCTAAAGCACCTCGTTCAATAACTTAACGTGAAAAATAAGATTGTTTTCTTAGGAATTAATTATGAGAGTAAGAAATTAAATGAATAAACTAATTATCTTGAGAATATTTAATACCTGTGTTGGGCCATATAGGAACAGTAATATATGAGATTTGTGCCTCAAAATGTCGTCGAATTTGAGTTTCTAAGTAACGATTTTCGCTAAATTCACCTATTAAAAACATAGCTGCTAATTTACGTTCGTTTGACGCACATTGCCATTGAATCAAATCAATAATCTTATTAATAACAGGATCAAACATATCTTTCACAGTTTGAAAGTCTAACTCTATTATCCAATCATCATCTTCCATTTGTTTTCTGAAATGACCGGTAACATATTGCTTCAATGCAGGGCATATTTTTTCAATGTCCAATTCCTTGTCAGTAAATTCGTTAGGATTTCCGTTAAATCGAAATTTTACTTCTGAACAAAATCGTTGTATCAAAATTTGCATTTGTCCATTGTGATCTTCTTTTAGTTTTTTCATTGCGGCGAATCCTAATTTCCGACCAAGAAACTTAAGAAATTCATGGTCAACATAAGAACTGCCACATCGACTACCACTGCGTTCGATAATTTCACTAATTTTCATGCCAGGCAATAAAATCCTGGTTGCAAGGTTTACAGTTTCTCCTTCGCAATCAACGATCAAGAATGATGCTAATATAAAAAAATCAGAAGTGTTATTGTCGTATGATTTTATTAATAAATGAAGTAAATAATAAATATATATTTACATCCAACTGATAAGCCATGACTATTTAAAAGTTTTAAGCAATAAATCGCGGCAGCCTCGGCTGAAAATAAAATAGTCAGATATGTATACTATACGTGTACACGTATGTATAAATTCAACAATTAAACCTTATTTACATACATTCACTTATAAAAACTAAATTTTCTGAATGCTTATGCACCAAGTAGCCAGCTTTATGCATACACTCACTCATAGTTGCTTTCGTTTCAGAATCCCTTTATTGTATGTCAAAAAAAATGCTTTAGGTACTAATACATCAACCCCAATCAATTATGGAATGAATTGCTAACCATTCGTCAGGTACAGGTAGTACAAAGCGAATTTGTTGAGGATACCGTATACCTATATATTTAAATTAAATAAATTTAAGTTGCTTTTATTTAAATATTAATGAAGATATTTATTATATTACCTGGCCATCGACTATCTAATGTTTGTAAAATATGCTAAACAAGGAAAATTATTATCACAAATTAGTTTAAGTTAATTATAAACAGTATATGTAGAATAACTTACTTTATTTATCTCACGTAAATAATCAGTAATGACCGTTTTTGCATCTAAGCCCGGAAGAAGGGGTGGCTTCTCGCTCTCTCTTATATTGGCGAGGTGTAACATGAATTGTTCTACAGGCTTACGTTGCGGTGCCCTTTTTCTTAAGTATGGGTCTGAGTACAAGGCCGGGTAGCCCCAGGCTACAACTTGCAAATTTTCATCATATGCTATTACAGTATTAGTTTTAAGTATTCCACTTTGTCCTGGCCTAATATTAAAGTTATCAAAAATTACCCATAATTTTTAAATTTATATATTTTCTAATAAAAATTCAAAATCGTGTTTATATATTACCACTACAAAAATAATGATATAATTCGTTATTAATATATTTTGCATAAAAAAATTTGAAATGAATAACCAATTTGACAATGCTGAACATTTATTCAAATTAATAATTAATTGGATATGAACCATTCTATTAAATTTATAGATTCAAAAATAATTTGATGTCCAATACTGTCTAGTATATACTGTCCAATTTTAAACTTACTTTATCATTTGTGATAGGTTCTGGGTTGGCCTTTTTTATTGAATATGCAAATCCTATATGCCGTATTATGAGAAAATGATTTAATCAACAAATTTTTATTTTACAAATTTTTTGTTTCTGACCTGAATGGGTAATACCAATTTCTGGCAAATAAATATAAACGTATTGTTAGTACAACTGCTTCAATAATTTAAGGTACAGTACGTAAGAATATTATATATACCAAGAGCTACAACCAATTGAATATCTGGTATACTGGGATGTGGCTTTGGTATAGTTAAAAACTATAATAGTAAAATGAAATTATAGTCATGTTTAGTAATAAAATATCAGATGATTTCTAATATATAGATTCTGTACGCACTAATTGAGAACTTTGACTTGATGACGTTGATTGTTCTCTATTGTTACTTGAATGTCGAGACGTCATTCCGGCATGATGTTTCAATGAATAAATATCATATGATGGAGGTTGATACCTATTATATAAATTTTCTGATGTAATATTTTCATCTGGAGAAGTCGTGAAGTTACTTGAATGTCGAGACGTCATTTCGGCTTGATGTTTCAATGAATAATAATCATACGATGAAGGTTGATACGATGGAGATTGATATAAATTTTCTGATGTACTATTTTCATCTGGAGAAGTCGTGAAGTTACTTGAATGTCGAGACGTCATTTCGGCTTGATGTTTCAATGAATAATATTCATACGATGGAGGTTGATACGATGGAGATTGATACCTATTATAATACGATGGAGATTGATACCTATTATATAAATTTTCTGATGTAATATTTTCACCTGGAGAAGTCGTGAAGTTTTGTGTGGAACTATTGACTCCACTATTATCCATACAATATCCCTCAGTTGGTTCTCGTCTATATGCATAAATATCATCCAATGGATTCCTATGATATTCCGATTTAGGCTGTTCATTCCTATTACTATAATATTCCGATTTAGGCTGTTCTCTTTCGTTCATAACATGTGCGAAATTACTACGAATGTCTTTTTTTAAAACTTCATTTGGCCTATTCTCTCCAGTAATATGTGCTCGTGATCTTGTATATTGTTCACTCAAAATCAAATCTTTTTCATTTGAAATCATATATTTTTCATTTGAAATCATATATTTTTCATTTGAAATAATATATTTTTCATTTGAAATAATATTTTGCTCTTGTTTACTCAAAATTATATTTTCATCATAATAGGTTGGATCCATTTTTATCATATCTAATTTGTGACGAATCACAGCTATAGTGGGACGTAAACTCGGATCTCCATCCCAAGCATTAGTATAAAGGTTTAAAAAATCAATTGGAGTTCCATTAACTGGGGCTTCTCTTTCTCCAGAAATTACAATAAGTGATATTTGTGTTGTGTCAGCTATATCTTTAAAGGGAGGAACACCGCTTGATAATTCCCAGAAAAGTACACCGAGACTATAAATGTCAGAAGGTTTATCCCGTCTATATAAGAATGGATTTAGGAGATACTTCGGATCAGAAAAACCACATGTTCCACCGGCAATAGATTTTGTGCTATTTTCTAATGATTTAGATAAACCAAAATCTGCAATCATCAGTTTATCGTCATGCACTAATATATTCCTATCATGCTATAATTATATTAATATTTATACAATTACAAAAAGAAAAAAGAAGAAACAAAATTATTTTACAAGATCACGGTGAACAATGTTTGCATTGTGTAGGCAATTAATCCCACTAGAAATTTCTTTCGCCATTCTAATTTTGGTTGCCCAATTTAATTTCGAAAAACGATTACTTAAATAGCAACGAAGGTCACTGTTATTTGCATATTGAAGAACCATATAGTATGATTGGCTTTTTGGATCTAATTTGCACAAATTTTAATAATAATTGGTTAGCAGATAACATTTCATGAGATCAAGCTAACATACCTTGAGTTACTCCAAAGAACCGTATTATATTATCATGATGAGAAAATCCAATAATATTTCTAACCTTATAGTATATAGTGTAATAAACATAAATAAAATAAATAAATCGAATAGAAACGTAAATAATATTGATTAAATTATTATAGATTAATTAATACTTCTTTAATAAATTCATTCACATTAACATTAGTGGAGTTGTGATGAAGGCTTTTTAAAGCTACAATTTTTTCAGCATCTTCTGAATATGCACGATATATAGTGCCAAACCCTCCTCTCCCAATTTCTTTCCAGTTCTGAAAAGAATCATGCTTGAATAACTTAATATATTTTTTTTCAATAGCAACTTCGATCCAGTTTGACATTTATTAATTCTAAAACGCTAACGCTAACAGCTAATATCTGAATATAAATATGTACGAGAGCCAAATAGGAACCAATAAAAATAGTGTCACTACATACATATGTAAGTACGAAATTTGAAGTTTGCCATCATTGTGTAGCATCCGAAATTATTGATTATATTAATATATAAACCAAAGCAAAATACGTTTTTTTATTTACCCTATGTAGTGATTTGATCCATCTTACAAACCTTAACTAACTGGTGGACAGAACAGGAGGAACCGTTGATACGTCACAAAATCGTTACACAATTGATAAAAATTTTTTTTATATTATTTTACAATA